TGTGTGTGTATGTCTGCTTGTGAATCTTTTCATCAGCTTGTTTCATTGGCACCACGCTTTTTGTCTGTGTGTTGACTTTCTGAAGCTGGTGAAAGCATACTGTTAATTTGGCTCACTTTTGGATTAATATAGTTCATCTTATCATGTACTTAATTAAAATATCTAGTTCTCATACCAAGTTTCCCACCATAAAACTGCTTAAAGTTGTCAAGAGTCTCTGTCTTGGTCGGTTTACACAGAACTCATAAAACTCTTAATAAAAAATAAAAACAATGACGAAAGACAGAACTATACTGCAATGTGCAACCGCAAGTGACATTTGCATGACAATATATTCATAAGATGTTTTCTAATCATAGGTGGAGAACAAAAGTCTGACCGACTCGGTGCGGGAACTTATTGCTCTGCGTCACAAGATGGAGGCTCGGGAGAGAGAGATGGACACCATGCTTAAGGAAAAGGTCAGTTCATGTGCTAGCAGTAATCCTTTAGAAAGTCACTCACCAGACTTTGAGTAATTCACCCAGCCCCCTGTGCGATTCATGTTTGTGGTTGTTCATTTCTGTTGGCATTTAGAAGTGCCATTTTCGTAGCCTTATTCTTTCTTATTTGTCTGTTTTCAGTTCTGTTTCAATATTTCTAGTATCACAGGATAGTTATTGAGGGCATGTGTCTCTCTTGAACCCAAAACAGAGGGCATTTGGATTTCTTTACTTTCCCTTTGTTGTTTCTGTCTGTCTGTCTGTCTGTCTTGCTTTTTTCCTGCACTAAATGACTATTATTGTGTCAATGTGCTACTCAAACAAAGATTTCAATTTTGCTTGATTATATCTGCTTTTTCTGATCCCCATAGCTCTAAGTCTTCATGTTGCTGGTTTTTCTGCCTTTTTAGAATAAGTTATATAGTTGTTAATTCTGCATAAGTTCAGAATAATAATTTCTCTTTGTTGTGGGTGATCCTCTCTCTGCGTAGTATTCTGTAAGGAGTTCTCCTTTTTGTTCTGAATTATTTTTCAGTGTCAAGAAGAGGGTGATGTAAATGAAAATGCTCTCTGACTAGAATTCATGATTTTGGTTGTGTATGTGTGGTGCGTGTGTTGGCAAGTGCATGCACATGTGTGTATATGTATGTGTGTGTGTGTGCGTGTGTGTGTGTGTGTGTGTGTGTTTGTGTGTGTTTGAGTGTGTTTGTTGAGTTGGGGAGAGGATGAGGGAGGGAAACAAAATAAATATATTTTCATGAGCGCACCATTCAAATCTGCGACTATTTTCATGGTTTAATTACACACTTGAGCATTTATCTTCAGATATAGATGTGTGAATTGTACTTAAGTTTGTCATCTTTTCCTTCTCTCAGTACTTCTTTCCTATCAAACATCTATCGTCCTTATCTCCCCTTTTTCTTTTTTATGTTTTGTTACTCTCTTGTAACACCTCTAATCTTCTGGCGCTCATATGACCTTATGCAGTTGCGAGCGCTGTAAATCCTCTACTAAAACTTTAAAAAATCTCAGTACTTCTTCGTTGTTCTGTCTGCAGTATGATCTACTTGTCTCTTGTGGTCTAGTGGGAGTTTATACACATAAGTTTATGAATGCAACAAAAAACGCCACCCAAAAATTAGTGGTGGGCGGTACAGGCGAAATCCAGTGTCGGTACTGGTGCCGAGAACTGCCAGTACCGGTTCTGGTACCGGTACTGAGAGTGACTCCAGTAGGTGACGTCACAGATTTCGCGTCTTGCGTCTAACGCCACGATCAGCGCCGCCCGTATCAAGGTTACCCGCTGCGTTGTGCATATGACGCCCCAGCTGCTAGACCTAAGCCTACACACTGCACACTTTTCGTGGCCCGGTAAGGAAAAAAAAAACCTGTCGGGTCGGCTCCTTCTCAGAGCTGATATTAACCGTTGGTGTCGGCTCCTTCCGAGAGCCGGTACTGGAGGCCAGGTGCCGGTACTGACACCTCTTTTGGTAGAGCCGGGAGTTCCGGTACTGGGTACCGGTACCTGCCCATCCCTACCAAAAATGAGTAAGGAAGATATCAGGATTTCATTTCCTTCCCTGTCATTATATTATTGTTCAGGAAAGAGAGCTGGCAGCTCAGGAGTCGAGGATGGCAGAGATGGCGGAGGATATGAAGTACTATAAGTGTCGCGTGGAGGAGACAGAGGAGAAACTTTCTAACTTCAACACAGAGTCAGCGGCCTGGAAAAAAAAGTACTGTATGGCTCGTGATGAGGCAGACAGACTTCAAGGTGAGGATGGGTGGCTAGCAGGTGCTCTGCTGTGGTTTGCTCTTTCTTTTCTATAAAAAATCTATCGTCCTTATCTGTCCTCCTTCTTTTTTTGTGTTTGTTACTCTCTTGTATCACTTCTAATCTTCTGCATTTATATGACCTGATTGTGTTGCAAGCGCTGTAAAACTCTTAGTGAAATAAAAACATTGTAAAACTCTTAGTGAAATAAACACATTCAAGATAAGCCTTGGCACAAATACTCTCTCTTCGCTCTATTTTTTTTCTAATTTATTCCACAACAAGTTTAACACCAAAATGACGACTTTGAGAATGTTTGTGGGTGGTTGGCCGGTGTTCTGGTGTGTTGGATCTTTTCGCGCATGCTATATTTCAACTATAATGGAAGAAGTATCGATTTGGCATTCCGACTTGGGACATTCTCAAGATCTACTTTTGCTTTTGTTACCACTCAGAATTCTCAGATGATGGCTTGATTACTGTTTCAATTGCTACATACAGACGATCAATGTTATTCATAGTTCAGCTGTTGCCTTCAAAACAAGCTTTGTCCAAGTTCTGGTTAGTCGGGCCCGTCATCAAGACCCATCTGTAAAACTGTTTCAATTGTGTGTTCGCATCATGTGACTTCAACGTGTGAGTGTGAGTTGCGCGTGTTTCAGGGACTGTCCTTTGACGAGGTCATCTTAAGTTTATACATACTGGGGGGGGGGGGGGTTTAGACTTGGACTAGCAGTCCCTGATGTGATACTTCAGGATTTAAAAAAAAATAGTGATCTCACACACACACACACACACACACACACACACACACACACACACACACACACACACACACACACACACACACACACACACACACACACACACAACCACACACACACACACGGAGCAAGAGAGAGAAAGAGAGAGGGCATATACATGGATAATATTTATGGACAACCCTGGAAATTTTAAAAGTAAATTTAGCAGTCATCTTGGTGATTTGTCGTTGATCCTGGGTTTTTTTCACCATATCCCGATTTTCCACTCTGAGATCCTGGTTTCTGGATTTCATTGAGTGGCAGGTCTGCTTATTCTCCCATTTGTGAAACTCAAGCACTAGTCAATACTGGTAAAATGACTCACCATGCTTTTTTTTTTTCAAAATGAAATAACGTAACTGTAATTTTGTGGTTTGTTTTTAACTGTTGTAAGCGCCATATTGTGTAGCGTAAGGGACTGTACTGCTGCATACTTTGCATTCACGTATTAACGTAAGAAGAAGAAGGAGAAGAAGAAGAAGAAGATCTATATGTGTCATGACGTGGTGGAATCAGGCGCTCATCGATTTTTGGGCATTTGGGGTTATTGGTATCGTCTTATTAAAGTCTGTTCATTTGCCTTGCTTTTTGCGAAAAAAATATCCGTGTTGAATGGAAGTCGGAGTAAGGAGGTCAGGGTTGCCTGGTTTCAGAGGTAAAATTAGTGAAAGAAATGGCCGCCAAAGCTTGGTAATTTCCATAGCCTGAGTGTCCCTGTAAACTTAACAAATTTACATTGTTTGTTCCTTTAATCTAACTTTTTCCATAAAATCGACGCAGAAGTGTGTTTTTAAATGGACATAAAAGGTGTTGAGCCAAAAAAAGAAAATTAGAAAGAAATTGCCAAACTGCCAAAAAATGCCAATTTCTTTGATTTGAACTGTTTGAAGAGCGCCATATTTTGTCAGTGAGGGTGTAAAAAAAAAACTCTTTTGAAAGAAATAAATAATTTTTTTCAACAGCCGACTGTTCTAACAAGGATGAAGTTGTTTCTAAGATGACCCAGCAGCTTCATGAGTCACTGCAACAAGCTATCGCCCTGCAGAAAGCTCTGTTCACCAGCTGTAAGTCCACCTTGTCCCCTGCTTCATCTACCAGTCATGGGGGGGGGGGGGCAGTAAAAGAAATAATAGGTCATAAGTTGTGTGGATAGGTGTAAAAACTGTTTGCCATCGGAGCAGTGACCATTTTAGAAATTTAAACAAAAGAAATGTTAAGTAAAAATTTTGTTTTAGCTGCCAATAAATCATACTATATTGTAACAGGTAAAGCGCTCTTTTAGAATGACGCATTAGAAACTTTAAAATTACTTTTGAAAATGCTCTCAGAATGCCAGTATTTAGAGTTTGTGCTCATTGACTCTGTATCTGTGGAGGGGGTTTTTCTCTCTGTGCTGGAGCCCTCTTTTGGTACAAAACCTGAAAGTGACAAACACATCACTGAATTGTTTATTTAACTTTTAAAAATACCTGTTGTGATATGAAAGAACTCTGGTATGAGACCTGTTTTTGTCAGTTGCTGAGAATAACTATTACGTCGTCGTCAAGGTAAGGAATTTGACCAAGTCATTGCCAGAGGCTCACCAGCACAGCGGTTTCGACCACTGGGAGCAGTTGCTGGAGGTAGAGAGTTAAAAAGCCTATTATCAAGAGAGTTAAGAGATGGGCTGATGGTGTGCTCAGGATGAACCATCTCTTTGTGCAGGTGAGCGTGAGAAGTGCAAAGAAGAAGTGCTCTACTCCATGCGCAAACAGCAGAAGCGAACGATGCAGGAGCTGGCTAGCTTGCGACAGGTATGTGTGGTGGGACATTGAAAAAATTCTCCTTTGGTTGTTTTTGTTGTGTTTTGGGTTTTTTTTTTGGAGGGGGTTGATTTTTTTTGGGTCTTTTTTTGTTGTTATTTATGAGTTAAAATTTTTTGTTTTGTTTACGTTGGAGCTTATGATCATCCTAGACGGAGATCAGTTGTTGTTAAACATTTTTAAAAGATGCTTTTGTACTGAAGGGTGTCTTTCCAAAGTATCATGAATGTGGGTGGTTGGCAGGTGCTCTGGTGTGGTTTGCTCCTTCTTTCCTATCAAACATCTATTGCCCTGATCTCTCTTCCTTTTTTGTATTTGTTACTACTCTTTTGTAACATCTCTAATCTTCGGCACTTATATGACCTTATTGTGTTGCAAGTGCTGTAAAACTCTTACTAAAACTAAAAGTATGATGAATGTATTTAGCATAACCTGCATCTCTGCTCATCTCAACCTATTCCTGGGACGACCTGTGAATGAGCCACATGCGAGACGGTGCAGTGTTTTCTGTGGCTTGCCGCAGTGTTTTTTGTTTTTGTCAAGGTTTTGAGTAATTGAAAACAACTCCCTATTAAAAGCTGTAGGATAAACGTTTAAAAAATATGAACCCGTATATTGTATGAATATGTACCTTTCCTTCATCTGTCTGTAAGTTTGAGAATTTTTGACATATTTACAAATAGATTTTCATAAAAGTATGTTTGCCTTTTTAACCACTAAAGACTTGAGCTAGGATACCAGGTCAGGGTGCCGTGTTCGCTTAAAAACGAAATTGTTTTGACAGTGCTGTTCAGGAAATACTTAAGATAACTGGATAAAGTTTGAAACGTGGGTGACTTCAGTAGCCCAGTTGTTAGGCTACTGTTAACTGTAATTGTGAGATGACCAGGTTTGGGGTTCAACCCTCAGCTCGGTCCTATATAGTGTCCTTGAGGAAGGCACTTTATAAATACAAATTTTATATTTGGCTGGGTCCTTTTGGATGGAGATGAACATTAAACTCGGAGGGCCTGATAGCGTTGATAGGTATGTTAAACCTACACAATTTCACATTTTCACATTTTCAACACCTTTTCACATTTGAAATACCATTTCACATTTTCACATTTGAAATATCAGTTCTCATTTTAAAATTTGAAATACCATTTCACATTTTCACATTTGAAATACCATTTCACATTTTCGCATTAGAAAGACATGGCTTTTTTTTTTGTAGCTGTATGATCGACAAAACAAGGACTTGACTCTGTACCACCTGAGCGTCCAGGAAAAGGAAAACTGGCGGATACAGGAAAGAGACCGGGAGCGCTGCCGGTCACTGGAGAAGACGCCCTCATCTACAGGCAACAAAGAGGAGGAGGACAAGAACATGAGGTAATTTTTATACTTTTCTTCATGCCTCGACGTCCATCAGTCACAGTCGCAGGTGGCCATGGGTCTGGGCCTGGCAGAGTTTTTAAAATCTCTTTCTTTACGCAAGGGATTTCACAAGTTTTACACCCAATTTGAGGAGGTGAAGGGTGTTGCTTTAAAACCATTATATTTCAATCATATATTGGTGGATTTTTTGGTGTGAGCACTCAAATTATTCGTAACTGGACAGAGCGTCACAATATGGGTGAAATAGGTAATAAATGTAGCACACAACCAGGTGTAGATCTTGGTGTTGACGAAAGTGGTTCCCCTAAAACACCACTTAAGTAACGATCCTTTAAAAGGCTGAACCGAAAAATGCTACTTAAGTGACGATCCAAAATCAGAGTCAAGTTGATGTTTGACAAATTCACCTCTCAGAAGCTGTAAAATAATTCTTTCAATTTATTGTTCTTTGGTTTTTACTTACTCCTGACAGCCATCGCTTCCGGTCGCAGAGCGAGTTGAAGTTTCCCGTCTCCGGCTCCAGTTTCCTGCTTAAGGAGGTAAAGAGGAAGCCCTCCTCCTCGCCACCTGCAACGGAGTCGGCTGAGTGTGATGAGAGTGACGGCAAAGCCATTGTCACCGACTCCAGCAGACGGGAGGGCTGCGCTAGTACATTGGAGGTCTCTCGCAAAAGTTCCGGGCCGGAAAGTAGGTCACGGGCTCGTCGTCGGCCCCACCGTGTCAAGTCCTGTAATGCGGCCACCAGCACCAGCGACATGACTGATGGCTCTCAGTGCGACTGCGATTCGAGTCAGAGGTCAGTGTGGGTGGTTGGTGGGTTCTGTGATGTGGTTTACTCTTTTTTTTTCCCCATCAAACATCTATCTTCCGTATCCCTCCTTTTTTTGTATACCTCCTTTTTTTGTGTATCACTGTCTTGTAACACCTAAAATCTTTGGTACTTGTATATGACCTATTTGTTTTGCAAATGCCATAAAACTATTACTTAAACCTCAACATTTTGTAGCTGTCTTGGACAATTTGGACTATGTTAAGATAAGTAAGTGTACTTTTTTTCATCTTCCTTAAGAGGAAAAGCACTTTCTGGTTTCACCAGTTTTTACAACACAAGGTATTGTTTATTATGACAGAACAGAATAGTGAAGATAATAATGGTGTTATTTAATGATTATGAGGTGGATGTCGTTTTTTAATGTGTACACAAGGTCAAGGTCAAAGTCCATTTCTCCGGAGCTAACTACGAACATGAATGCCAAAACAACTCTGTCGCCAAAGTCCCAGTCTACTCACAGTACCTTGGTGGAGGACAGGTCCAGGACAACTTCAAACAACAGCTGCAAACACAGCGAAGGCCCCTCTCAAACGAGCCCGTCCCAGCACTTAGAGGGCAGGAGGTCCTCGTTGTCCCCCATGGGGTCACAGCAGTCCAGCCCAAGATCTTCTCAGTCCAAGAGGATGGTCAGTATTTATAATAATCTGTTATTTTTAGAGGTGTTGACCAGCGTCAGGGGGTATAGCGATTCTAGGCGCTTCACTGGCGCACGCATGAGACCCGTCTGGGATTCACGAGAGAGGAGTTTTATTAAGTATTTCATTCTTTCTGCTGGATTGTTGTATCCTTCTAAGCCCAGGTTGGCCCTGATCCAAAATGATCTAAATTGTGTGGATGGGGGCGTAAAAACACCTTCATAAAAATAAGGTGATGCTCACTGATTTCTCAGACATGGATTGTTAAGTGGACACCTGATCTGATATTTTTAAAAAATGGGGCCTGTAGTTAAGGGATAAAGCTCTTTGCTGTCCATGTGAATGGTGAGAGTTTGCTTTGCTGGCAGAAACTGGAAACGAAAGCAGATGACAGAACATGGTTAGAGAGCAGGAAGGGAGGTGAAAGGAGAAAATATTACAGAAGAAAATTTTCCGTCACTGTCAGGTTATGAACTCAGGATGTATTGAATGAGAGATGAACACCGTACCTCTAGACCACAAGAGCCCCCCCCCCCCTCCCTCTGTTGTCTCTGTCTGCCTGTCTTTTGCCTTATTCTGAAATGCCTGTATTTGTGTTAATGTACATCTCATATAAGGGAAAAAAAAAGACCATCTGTGACCTCTGCCTACAGATGTCAGACGACGTTGACAGATGGAAGAAAAGGCGACAAGAAAAGGTCAAGAAGCGGTTAGAGTCGAGGGGGATGCTGGACGACTCTTCCGAAATGAGCCAGCTCTCATCACCAGAGAGGCGGTTGGACGATGATTTTGCTCCGGCCGACAGCGACGGGATGTGCCCCGAGCTGAAGAGAGGTGAGTCGTAAGCAGGTGGTCACAGGATGACAGTGGTGGGTCCTAAGTGTGTGTACTTCGAGAAAGGTCCCAGTTGTCGACAAAGCTCTTTTTTAGCAATGGGGTGAAAAAGCCAAAAAAGTCCTACCAGGTAGAAAATTTTGTTCTATCAGAAAACACACATTTAGCCTTTTCTTAATAACATATTGAAAGGATTTTATATTTTAAGCCTCTATATTTTTCATTAGTTATATATATCTGTTGGAAATTGGGTCAACATGATACGGTTAAAGCCATTTATCTTCAAACTTTGTTTTTACACCCTGTGTTTAAAAATGTAGCATATATTTGAAACTGCTCCAAAAAAAATTGAAAAATTTGCAACAAGAATATGCCCTTATTTTAATGTCCAAAATTTCCGACAACTGGGACCTTTCTCCAGACACACTTATCTGTTTCTTTACTGTGCCCCTGTTTTTTCTGTCACTCTTGTTTGTTTGTTTTTTCTCAGCTGTAGATTACTGTAGATCCCACTTTACTGTTATTAACTGTTTTTGTCTTTCTGTCTTTATTTATGGAGCCTTTAATGACTACTGTTTTGTTGATTTGTTTCTATTCATTTCCAGTGTCTTTTTATGGTCTTTCTCTGGGGCAATAAAAAAATTTTTGTGATTTTAGAGAATATTGGTGTCCATGTAAGAATCATAGAATGTGTATGCTTATTCAAATAACAAAGAAACTAGAAGTTTAATCATCATTTAAAGCACACATGCTGAGACCTCTGGAAGATGATGATGATGATGATGATAATCAAACTCCCTTTCTTTCTCTGCCACAGATTTAGGTTCCCTGGGTGGAAATAAACATACAGCCTGCTCAGACTTGTTCAAGAAGAGTGCTATCGCTGCTCGGAAACACTTCTTGTCAAAAATGCCTGCCAGTCTAGAGCCCAGCTCCAACAGGTCGAGTTTCCTTCGTAAAGAGACTGTAGCCAGCCTGGCTTCCTCTGGTGCTGATGATGAAACTACGCCTCCAGCCCAAGCCGTGGTAAAACTTGTTCAAAAGGACACAAAAAGTCCCATAAGAGAGTTCTGTGCCAAGGCTTCTTCATGTAGTGGTGAAGATGAAAATGGAAAAAGCCTTGAAGATGGATGGGTTGATGGTGTCATTCGTTTCACACGTGTGAGTAATGATTTTGGTGCTGAAGCTCGGTCGATTGGGGCAAGACATGTGAAGGGAAATGGTCAGACGGTAATCGTTTTGCAGGCTGGAGAGGCTCAGGAGACGGTTCAAGAGATTCCATCGGAGTGCCATGTTGGCTGTGATTCGATAGATCGTGTGTGGAGGGCTACTAGGGAAGAGTGTGAGAGACCACGAGAAGAGAAGAAGTCGGCAGCTTCCACACCGGGAAACAACCAGTCGGGTAACAGTGAAAACCTCGGCAAGAGTCGACTTCAGTCGGGGTCAAAGCCGAAAGTGACATTCAAGAATGACGATCCCAATAAGCCATTCTCATCCTCTGAGCGAGGGAGGAGTGTCGTATCAGATCACAGTGAGTCGGAGGAGTGGTCAGCTTGTAGGACCACGTTGGGCGATGGGCTTAACAATAACCAGGGACAACCCTCTGAGAGGACTTCGGCGCATGGCCAAGTAGAGAAAGTATGTATCACCAATAGTGTGGCGAACAAAGGGCAGCTTCCAAACTCTGTTGATGATTATTTGGCACAGACTAAATCATCAGTTCCCGAAGTCTACTTCAGTAGCAGACCTGGTCAGAGAATCTCAAACTCGATTCATACTGATGAGAATACCTCAAACCGTGGTCACAGAAAACAACAGAGCAGAGAAGGAGATCCTGAGGTGAGTTCGCAAAGGGGAGGGCCTGCTCTGAAGAATTCTTCCTTAAGCCTTCTTAAAGAGAAGACAAAATGTCTGAGGTTCAACGATACAGAGGGAGAGCTGGTGAGGGAGAGAAATTCACCCTCCTTATCCTGCTCCCCCGCCTCCAGTTGCAGTAACGGCAGCAACTCTCGTTCACGGCGGGCAAAATCCTCTAGCGAAACGCCGGTTGGCGACAAGGCTGAGCTCACACCCCAACAGGTCTCCAGCAAGGAGCAACAGAAACATCACCGACCAGTGCACAGAGACAGGGGGGCGGACATAGTGTCATCTAGTGTAGGACTACAGGGGCCAGACTCTGAGGACAGCACTAACGAGGACTTGAGCAGTAGAGGTAAGGGAAGTTGGTCAAGCAGTAATAAAAGCAGCGTTGTTGAGAGTTCAATCAAGCAGAGGCCTTACTTCTATGTGGAGGCGTCATCGTCTGACACAAAGTCGAGTCGCGACAAGAACCGTAGTGCGAAGGAAAGCTCGGAGCGCTCGAATAAGGAACGATTTGGCAGAGTGTCGGATCTGACCATGAAGGAAAAACCTTTCTGTTCTGTCCGAGGACCATCTCTGTACCAGCAGCTATCTAAGATCCACTACTGTGAGAAGACTCGGCGCTATGAATGGACGGCCCCAGCTGATCAGAAGCCGGATGCTCAAGATAGTGGAAGGGAAGAGAACAAGAGTAACAATTGTTCTGGTGAGTGCAGTGTAAGTCTTCGAGATGATGAGCCCACCACGGTGTCTAGAGATGACCTAGTCTCTGTAAGGCACAGTTTGGCTGAGGTGACGAATGTCAAAGAGCACTGCTCCAATGAGTTTGATGTTGTCGAAGGTTCTGTTCTCAAGTTCAACACAAACAGCAGTAAAAAATATCAAGATATGCCAAGTGTTAGTCCTGTGGCACCAACCTTGAGCCATAAGTCAGCCCACGATTCTGTAAGTTCCACTGTCCCGGGCCCTACCCAGCTGTTGATGGATGCTGAAGATGATGTCTGGCACTCATGCGACTCGGCCATTGAGAGTAGGATGGTTGATGATATAATGAACGTCTGTGATGCCAGCGACTTCCTGGAGAAGCCGAGTTTCCTGTCGCCTGTCGCAGGTGCTGTGAGTGGTGGGGAGCACAAGCACCACAGTGCCAAACACTTGGGAGCTCTGGAGCCTGTGGTGAAGAGACTGGACTTCAGTGCAACATTTGATGAAGAAGAGGAGTCCTGTTCTGTCCAAAATCCTGTCAAATTGTCAAAGCAAAGTGACAAATTGTCTCCTCTTGATTCGCAAGGGAAGTTGTTTCACGAACTTGGGGAATTATCTTCTGTGGATAGGACCATGAGACTTTCAAATGGACTCGATAAATTGTCTGCCTTAGGTACTCCGGAAAAGTTTTCTGAAGAACAGAATGATTTGTCTTTTAAAGAAGGGCCTGTGAAAAGGTTTTCAGAGCCCAATAAGTCACCTTCAGTGGAAGGGCCTGTGAAGTTGCCTAGTCAAACTGGTAATATATCTTCCCAGCATGTCTCTGGCAAGTTGTGTCAATGTCCTGACGTGTTGCCGTGTGTGCACTCGGGCTGTGAGTTGGAACCTGTCAGAGACACGGCATCTCCAGACATGATGATACCTATGTCTGTCGGGGAGGCAGAGGCACAACTCTGTGATCACATCAGTACTCCTATTGATGGAGTGGCTGTGAAGATGGTCAACGGTGAAAGTAATTTATCTCAGAAAATAGAAGATACCCCTCTAGATGTTCCTTCTCATATTAACGGCCAACTACAGCATGCGAGTGTGAGGAAATTTCATGAAGATGTTTCTGAAGTCAGTGTCGTGGAAGACTTTCAAGATATAGGATTGAACTGTGATGTATTAACGAAGGAAAAGGCCGCAAGTGTGCTCGAGAGAAGTGAGCTAATTCAGGCCCAGACCCTCAAACTCCTGCAGTTCACCTCAACAGAGTTCATGTCGTTTGACATTCCTGAACAGGATCTACTCTCGGGTAAAGAAGTCAGGACACCATCAGGAAAAGAGTCGCCGCACCACAGCAAAAGTCATGAACTGGGAGAGACCTCCTTGACAGGCAAGTGGTCATCAGCGGGGTCCTCAGATGTCCATGAGAGGTCTGATGGTGAGGTGATGGTTGACCAGTTTGAAGAGCGACTCTCGTCCTTTCTTGAGGAACCATCAGAAGAAGATCAGAGTGTAAGTTGAACAAGGTTTATCTTTCTCTATTTGGGCTTGTGAACAATACAATATGGATAGTTGGCAGATGCTCTGGTAGGGCTTGCTCCTTCTTTCCTATCAAACAACTATAGTCTTTGTCTCTTCTTCTTTTTTGTGTTTGTTATTCTCTAATCTTCTGCACTTATGTGACCTAATTGTGTTACTTACTAAAGCACTTACTAAAATGAACAATACAATCATTAACTCTTTAAGCCCTGAGTTTTTTCTACCGTTTCCCTGAGTTTTTTCCTGCAGTTACCTAGAAGAAGTGTAGTGCACTATGTCTCTTTATAACCCCTAAAGCTTGCCTCCAACTTCTAAATAGCGGAAACAAAAAGCTCAGTCGTTACTAAAAAACTTGGTTCAGGAATAGTATAGAAAAACAAGCAAAAACTAGGACTAAATAAAACAAAACAGTTGTCACTAGTACTGGACGCTCCCAGCGACTGATGGGGAACAGGGCTATTACGGCCGGACACCCCCAGTGCCTGATGGGGTTCAAAGAGTTAAAGAAAGGGGCTCTGTACCAGAAGAAGTTTCAGTGAGTTGTATGTTTTGTGATCCTGGTCCAGTTTCTTATTCTTCTGCAAACAAATCAATTTGACTGGAAATCTTTTTTAAACTTAATGAGAAAACTGCTTTTATAAAGAGTGTAGAAAAGTAGGCCTACTTAAAGCAGAAATCTTGAGTTTCATTATTTGGAATCATCACTGTCTTTTATCATTGTCGTATTGTCAAAGTTTGAGGTTTCTGGGAGATGCAAAAAACATGTATTTCAGGCAGGAAATGATCTAATACAAAATGTTCGATTCATCCACATCAGTTACACTTTTATAAAGAAGAATGAGACTTTGACCAATCAAAGATCCCCATCAAACTCTACATCTTGTTTGAATGTAATTTCTTTAAACTTTTTTGACACCTTACTATGTTGAATGACGATGACATAGCTGAAAAACCTATGATTCAATTAGTTCCTGTTGTTTTTTTCCTTTTATCAAGTATCATTTTCAATTTTTTTCCCCTTCTTTTTTCTCTTTATTATTTATTGCCTTTCTTTGCATTAGTTCTGTAGTTTGCACGTTAAAGAGTAAGTTGTTGTAGCTAATGACTGATCATTCATCCATCCAGCCCCATTTCCCCATGTCGCCTGCTACAAAGCTTCACAGACTCCTGCTGGAATCACAGGAGATGATCCTTTGCCTCGAGCGCTCCTCCGCTGTGCCAAAGTCTCTTAGGTCTAAGGTAATAATTATATTAATAATAATGATAATGATAATCATCATCATCATCATCATCATCGTCATCATAATTGTAATATTGATAAAAGTAATAATACATGTAATAATGATAATAAAATTAATAATGATAATTAAACTAATAATGATAATAAATAATGATAATAATAGTAGTTGCATTTTTATCAAGCATATCCACGCTCTACAACATTCTCTTTGCAACCATTACTACCCCATCAGGCCCTAGAATGCTCAAAATCATTCTCGGCTTCCCGGGAAGCACACAGTGCAAGCTGCAGATTGCACCTGTCCAAACACTAATAAACTGGCAAGACCTTTTGCTTTCTGTCTCTGGATACCCATTTCCACCTTGGTAAAGTGAGAACAGTTCTTGTAAAGTCACTTTCCTAAGGACACAATGTTTGGCTACACTGATGGGATTGGAACCCCCAATTTTACGGTTGCAAGCCAGAGAGCCTAACCACTTGACCACGGACTTTATGTGAGTTTGCCGAACAGGGTTGGTGTGTCCTGTAGTGTAAGGATTTGTCTCCACTTTGTTAGAAAACTCTATCCTTGACCTTTTACTGTTGAAGACTTCATTTTTCAGTTCATTTTTTTCCCTGTATAAAGTTCAGGGTGATCCCAAAAAAACTGTACAACTTTTTTGTTGATAATTTCCTCCACACAAGTTTTGTGTTTCAAATTTGTACACAACATTTTTGTCTGATATTGATTTTAGATAAATCCGCAGAATAGTTTTGCTCTACATAGCGCTTTAAAAAAAAAAAACCCATATTCAGCTATGTCCCCATTTTTGTAGCATGACGCACAAGTTTTCATTAGGCCTACCACTAAAAAACCCCAATGATTGCAACATATTGCAAACTACAGTAGCCTAACAGGCCGACAGAAGTTTGCAGATAGTTTTTCTCAAGTTTCGTTTGCCTGCTGAGATTATGGTTAAGATTAATAAAGAGCAGAGAGCTTTTTGTATTGAACATTTCCTCACCACCAACTCGTTTGGTAAGTTTCACACAAGGTACGGAAATACTGTTAAAGTTAAAGTGCCCTGAAGGCTTTCTTTGATGCCAAGGGTGAAAATGGCCCATCAGATAGGACCTGCAGAGAGTCAGAACTAAAAATTCCCAGACAGAACGACCACTTCAGGTTATATCTGTTCCAAATGACAAAATTGTAGTACAAATTTAGTGCGAGATGTTTTTTAAAAAAAGTTGTGCATTTTTTTTGGATCACCCTGTATTTTTTTCCAATATTTGTTTCGATTTTCTTCTTAAAAGGAAGTTTGCAAAGTTTAAATTGAAACTGATTTTAAAAAAGAACAGATTTGTCTGTTCTGTTTCAGTATGTGTACACATTTTTTAAAGAATGTTGTGTGTCTCTACAAGTTCTTCAGTGTAGGAAGCAGATTTGTAGGCGCTTATAGTAAAAGAATCAGATGAAAGACAAATCATCTGTTTTTATGATTGTGAGGTTAATATCTCCTGTGTAGCTAAAAGGGAAAAGTGAATGCAGTGCTTTTCTCCAATAAGATGGAGCAGTTAGGTTTATAGTGCCTGGTTCTTCCCTCTCTCCTTTCCACTGACCTGATGGATTATAATTTCATCACACTAATGAGTGAAATGTTCACCCTTTTAATCTTTCGGTTAAGTCAAATTTTGTGTAATGGTTAGGTGCTTCACCATCGCTTGTAGAAGACCTGAGTTTGATTCTCATTAGGGGAGATTTCTATCGAGTGTCTTGAACTTTTTCTCTTGGGACAGTGTGTCCCTCTCAGCTGGGGCTGGGGTTGGCCCTGACAGGCAGGGTTAAGGCCTGCCTCATAAATGATCAAAATTCTGTTGATGAGTACCTGTATGTAAAAAGGGCCAACATTAAAACCAAAAAAAAATTCAGTGAAGTTTTCGATTTGTCTTTACCAAAGTACTTTTGGTACCTTGGCCTTTATCTTTTAACTTATTTTAAGTACCGTTCCCTTTTTCACTGTGCAGTTAGGTATGGTCGGTACATAATGCAGTGTTCAACGGTTCATCAAACAGTGAAGTGTTCACCTTTTCATCACACAGTATTCTTAACTTTTTCATTATAGAGTAAAATGTATACAATTTCTAAATTTTTTCCAGCTGTTTTGTTTTAGAGCATAGTGTGTATCTTTTCCCTGTTCAGTTTAGTGTTCGCCTTTTCACAATACATGTATTGTTGGCAATGCATTTTGCCTCATCATCATTATGCAAAAAAAATTATGCTCTTTTATAGCACAGGTTTACTAACCCCATATGACTACTACTTTCTAATTAAGGAATTTTAAAAATCTTTTTTTAAAACCTTTTTTCAGACTTCTGTCTCGTCTCACTGTTGACCACTGTCCAGTCACCAGAGAAGAGATTGCTGCAGGGAGGTGCCATTTGGCCAGGGAATACACAGAATGAATTCACATTGTTTTTTTCCACTCGACAAATGAATCCTGCTGATGTGACTGTTGAAATAATTCAGGTTTATCAAAGTGTCATACCCATTTTGAGGAAACTTGTAATTTGATTCATATGTCATGAAAGCCTGCTTGATGAATGATGATGAATCAAGTTACTTCACTTATCACGCCAAAGCATCACCGAATGAATCCAGTTTGATGGATTTGCATTTTCTTTTGACAGAATAAATGAGAGCATCTGCCCATCTTTTGGTTTGTTACCAAATGAATCCAAACATTCTGTCTATCACATCTGCTCATTACATGAGTCTTGGGTTTTTCCTTCTTCTATGTAGCTGCTCAGAGACTGATTCATATCGGCCTGTCCATCACATCCATAAAATGAATGAATTTAATTTGTCCTTTTCCAATATGTGTTCAAACAAATTGTCCTCATATCCCATCCATCATTTGAAAGCGCCATAAAACCAATGCCATCCTAAACTATCCTATCAAATGTTTCCAGTTTTTTCATCAAGCCTTTTCTCAAAGAGAATGGAAATAAGTGTTTGGACCTATTGATACTCTTGTCACAGAATGAACCTAGGTGATCCGTATGTCATTCTCTGTTCTTATCCAGTCCAAATTGTTGATCTGTCATCAGCGTTTCTACCGAATGAGTCTTAGCCTTTAGTTTTGACTCTTAGAATTAGAAAGTCATGTTGTTTTAGTTCAGTAGCTCAGCCCTAACATCAATGGTACGTGGAGTAAAGTGGTTGTAATCTATGTGTCCACTGATTTTACTTCTTACCGAAAGTGGTAAATTTTTATCTCGGGGCTCCACTGTCTTTGTCTATCATTTGTTATCGTGATTAGACAGTTGAAGAGCTAGAATATGTAGTCCTGGGTTACTTCCACTCCACAGAGTGAGGACTAGCGTCTGTCTTGTAACTATAATGCTCTTTGCTTTTCATGCAAAGAGACATGAGTTTGCTTCCCTTGTGCAAATATATTTTTAGTATCTCCCCTTTCTGCTGACACATATCCCACACAGGCTGGGTTGGCTCTCACTGATAAGGTCGAAGCATGCAACTTCTAAATGATCTTTATTGTAAATGAAAGGCTGTAAAACGTACTTTGCAATGACTCCCTATGCCAGCCTGTTTAATTCCAGCTCACTCCATCTCGAGTCGTAACCTGTTAGGCTTTAAAATGCCATCATTCATCTATTTTTATTCGGCTATTAGTTCCCCTCTGCATTGAGCGGCTTTGTCTCTCACCCATCATCATGTCTTGCCAACTGGCTAATGCCACGACTGGTGCTAAAATTGATTTCATCGTAATATTTTAGATGAATTTGTTATACTTAAAGTGTGCCGACAAAAATATCTGTGTTGATATTGAGAGGGATAATTTTCATGCCATGACGTTGTTTGACCTTAAGTTCTGCTGAGGACTTGAATATCTATCCTAAAAGTCACTTCTAGGTGAGGCCTCCTTGTAGAAGAAAGTTTTACAAAGCAGTAGGTAGTAATTTTCAATTCTTGCCTATCAAACACCTATCATCCTTACCGCTCCTCCTTCTTTTTTGTTACTCTCTTGTTACAACTCTAATCTTTGGCACTTATCTGGCCTAATTGTGTTGCAAGTGCTGTAAAACTCTTACTTAAACTAAACTGAACTGAGATGTCAAGTTGTATTATCAAAGTGATCGCTTGCCTTTGAAGAGTTTTAACTGTGCGGTCAAGCCTCCCTGCCAAGTTACTGCCGTATTGACCTAAAAACATGCCCATCTTCACTTTGTTTATCTATGTTATATATCTATGCACATCAAGTCAGAGGTATTACACTGCTCTAGTATTGTGTAAAAAAATATGTTATACCGTTATGCAAAACAGTTCCCTGTTACAGCTCTGTACAGCATTATTTCTGTACATATGTTCATATATGTGTATACTATTATGTTTGTATAATTTGTACAATATGTGTGAATATATGTGTCACAACATGGCAGAATCAGGTACTCGTCTATTTTTTGAATACATGAAGTTAGTGACATAATCTTAAATATTTGTCTTGCTTTTGATAAATAAGATAACCATGTAGGCCTATCTTGAAAAGAAGTCCATATTTGGGATTGAAGGAGGTGGGGTCGCCTGGTGTGTGTTACTGAGAGAATGGTGGCCAAAGTTTGGTAGTTTAATAATAATAATAATAATAGATAGCATTTGTATAGCGCATATCCCCGCTCAACAGCAGGCTCTATGCGCTTTACACTATATTATTACCCCAGCAGACCATAGAACACTCCGAAACATTCTCAGCTTCCCGGGAAGCATACAGTGCAAGCAGCTGATTAAGCGCTCAAACACTAACAAACTGACAAGATCTTTAGCTGTCTATAGCCGGGTACCCATTCCCACCTGGGTGAAGTGAGGAAAATTCGTGTAAAGTGCCTTTCCCAAGGACACAACGTCGGGTCCTTGACGGGATTCGAACCCACGACCTTACGGTTGCGAGTCCGACTTTGATTAAAGACTTTCAAAGCTGAAGTGTTCTTGCAAACTGCAAATTTACACTTTTTGTGCCTTTGATCAACTTTTTCTGTAAAATCTTTACAGAAATGTGTCACAACGCAATGGAATCAGGCGCTCGTCAATTTTTGGGCATATGGATTTATCATGATCATCTTAAAGATTATTCATTTGCCTTGCTGTCAATGAAAAAAATATATCCATTTATCTTGAATAGAAGTCGAGATATTTGTGATCGAAAGAGGTGGGGTTGCCTGGTTTCTGAAGTAAAATTAGCAAGAAAATGGCCTCCAAAGTTTGGTGACTTCCATAGCTTAAAGAGTCCTTGGAAACTAAATTTACATTTTGTGTACCTTTAATCAAAGTTTTTCCATAAAAACCACACTTTGAAGCGTTTTTTGAATAGACATACAAGGTGTTGAGCCAAAAAACACAAATTTGAAAAAAAATTTGGAAACTGGCCGCAAAATGCCGATTTCTCGGATATTATTATTTTGACAAGCGCCTGATTTCACCACGCTGTCTCACAAATGCGTTTTTAAGTAGACATTAAAGGTAATGCTCCCCCCTCCCCTCCCTCCCTCCCCACCAAAGAAGTGATTAAATAAATAAAAGTAAATTAGAAATTTAATAGAGGTTGCCCAACGGTCCCAAAAATTTATTGGTTTCTTTGATTTCATTATTTTGACGAGCGCCTGATTTCTCCATGATGCTTCAAATACTTGTCCAGCATTCCAAATGTTTTCTCCTGTCTCAAGAGTCACCCTCTATGGTGTAGGGGTTAGACCCTTGACCGTTGCACATAGAAGATGTGAGTTTGATCACTGTGTGAAGAGTTGTACTATCGAGTGTTTCCGCCTGCTTGCTAGGATATTGTGTACTTCTCAGCCCTGGCTGGCCTTCTCTGGCATGGTGTAGGTGGTTGGCGGGTACTCTGGTGTAGTTTGCTCCTTTTTTCCTGGCAAATATCCTTCTCTCTCCTCCTTCCTTTTGGTGTTTGCTACTCTCTTGTGATTGTAACACATCTAATCTTCGTCACTGATATATGACCTGATTGTGTTTCAAGTGTCGAAAAACACACTAAACTAAACAACTCAGCCCAGATTGGTTGTCAGATCTTAGGCATGTGTGTTTCAAGTGTCGAAAAACGCTTAGTAAAACTAAACTAAACAACTCAGCCCAGATCGGTTGTCAGATCTTAGGCATGGTCAAAGCAGCTTGCCTTCTGAATGATCTAAACTGTGTCAAGTGGGGCGTATAACGTTCACAATCATTCACAGTCGCCCAAGCTTACGTTCTCTCTCTCTCAGTCTGGCGGTGTTGTCTGGTGTTGAGAGAATCTACTATTGATACATTTCTTCTACCACTGTGTATGATCACATACAAAGCGTTTTGTTATCCACGTTTCCGCACATATAATATATAGGGCCCTATGGTGTATATCTGACTCTGAGATGAGTGAATGTGTATTGACCAAAGATGGAAAAAGTAAATGAATTTGAATAATAAAAAGTTGACATCGACATCTTCAAGCTGCCATTGGTATTTTAGATTTTCATTATATTTTCATTGTTGTTGTTGTTGTTGTTGTTGTTGTGTTTAGTGGACGATAAAAGCTTACTTACTTTTAGAGCTGCATTTTTATATTTTTACTTAATTCTAAATGCTAAGACAAACAGAATGGTTGTCTTTTCTATTAAATACATGATGTATGTATATATCTCGATTGTAAGGTATAAACGTTCTGTAGTCTATATTCCTTTGAAGTCGCACATTGGTGGAGGTTGTGTAGTTGCAGTAGTAATGTATTAGTATTATTACTACACACACATGCACATTCATATACAGTTGAAATTGTCCTAGACGGCCATCCATTGTTGAGTGGTTGTCTTGTCTTAGATAGGTGGATGTTTTTGTTTAGCGAAAACAGGGTGGGGGTGGTTGTTTGGACAGGTGATTGTCTTGGTCAGGTGGCCGTTAGGGCACGTCTGAGTATAATAATATAATGAACGCCTATATTCACAAGTGGTTGGTTAGCAGGTGCTCTTGTGTGGTTTGCTTCTCCTTTCCTATCAAACACATATCATCATTATCTCCCCTCTTTCTTTTTTGTGTTTGTTAATCTCTTTTCACATTTCTAATCTTCGGCGCTAAAGTGCTGCAAGTGCTGTAAAACGCTTACTAAGACAATGCGCACACAGACACACCCTCCCCCCACTCCCACAGGCGCACACACACACACACACACACACACACACACACACACACACACACACACACACACACACACACACACACACACACACTCACACGCATTAGGACCGCCTTACTCAACTTACTATGTGGATCGTAGTTCTGTAATGCCCTGAGGGCTGTCGAGCTAACTATGGGCGTCGAGACTTAGCTTCAATAGATATACCGTAATACTAATACAACACCTTACTACGTGTATTGTATAATGTTATATAGAAAAGGTAGCTCCGAGTGCATTAATTTGCTCGCGGAGGAAAGGGGTGGGAGAGAGGCGTATGGAGTACTTACGAGGGCTCTGCCGGGCACACACACACACACACACACACACACCCACACACACACACACAAAGACACATACACACACAAAGATACACATACACACAAATAAACATATGTATATAGTATATAATATATAAATATAATATAATATAATAATATGTATGTATCTGGGGAACCTCCTATCCATCTATCTCTATCTATCCACCTCTGCCCTCTCCCCATCCTTTCCTTCCCCTCCCCCTTCTCCCTCTCTCTCTCTCTCTCTCTCTCTCTCTCTCTCTCTCTCTCTCTCTCTCTCTCTCTCTCTCTCTCCCTGTGCCCCCCCCCCCTTCTCTCTTCCTCAGGCGTTCAAATGCCTTTGAATAATATTATGCTCAAGGACAACAGTAAGACTAAGAATACCTTGCTGAGGTAATGAATGAAGTGAGACACCGAGGTCTGGTATCTATACAATCTGTTGTCTACAGCTACGGGCCGGTGGTCGGATACAATAGGTTGCGGTTTTGATCTTCCCTACTATAGAGGTTCTGGGTTTGAACCCGAGTTTAGTTCTTTATCTTTTTATTTTTTCTCGCCCTGCCAATAATTTTTAATTTATGCTGGTAAGATCACTTGTCGTGTTTTTGAACGAGTGTACATTATGATCAGATAAGATAGATTCTAATAAACATGTACTTTATTGTCCCGTGGGAAAATTTGTCTTGGCTGTACAGGATCGTAAAAACACGTGTAGGCATACATAAAAAATACATTATATATTATTGTAATTTAAATATTCAATATGAAAAGAAAAGTAAAACTTACAAATATATACGTATCACATCAGATGCATCGTTGAACCACATGCAGGATTTTAATTACAAGACCTTTAGAGCTATATAAATACATACTCGAAAAAGCAATACACATTGATATTTATTCTGACAGTAACATTTTACTAGATGGTAAAAAAATTCGGATTTATCCTTCTTTGTTTGTTTTTAGAAGTACACATATCTGCCGTCACGTGATCTTACAATTTGTTGGGAAAGTGGGTGTGATGGGTCGTTTTTAATGCTGTTTATATTTTTTAGGCTTGGGATCTTATACATTTTATAGTTTCTTCAAGTAAAATCATATCCAGAGACCTTGCTGGAGATCTGAAAGAGCCTCGTTACAACTGGGCAGCGCCGGAAGTAGGTGAGTGGAACAAGATTGTATCTTGAACGTAAACAAGTATGCAGCATTTGAATTTTTTAAAAACTGTACAGAAAAAAGGAGCAGCTCTGGGGCGCTCTGTACACGTCCTCGGTTCTCTTGTACGGGTTTTTCGGCCCCATTCAACTCAATTTATGATTTAAGGTATACCATTTATCGACCCTGCAGGTTCTCATTATCAACTGCGTGCAGAGAGGGATACAATACCAACAAAAAAGACATAGATGCTCGACTGAAAAACAAAATTCTTCGCTCACGGGAATCGAAGACGGGTCTTCTGTGTGTGACTGCAAGGCTCTTAACCACTACACCACAAAAGCAGGTGAATGTATCCCGGGGCGCTTGATTTTTTTCTCTACAGTTCCGCAGCGCGGTGGAATCGGGCGCTCGTCAACCTTTTAAAAAAAATTGTGTTTTTTAGCATGATATGGAATTATATCGGTATAATCTTAATGAAACCTGTTCATTTCTCTCTTGTTTTTCATGAATAAAATATTAATGTATGTTGAACAGAAGTCGAGGTGGGGTAGCGTGATATCAGAGGTAAACTTGACAAGAAAATGGCCGCCACAGTTTGCTGACCTCCAAAGCG